TGGGGGGTGTAGGTGGGTGTAGGTGAGTATGTGGGAGGGAGGGTGGGTATGTGGGTGTAGGTGGGTGGGTGTAGGTGAGTATGTGGGTGGGTGTAGGTGAGTATGTGGGTGGGTGTAGGTGAGTATGTGGGTGGGTGTAGGTGAGTATGTGGGTGGGTGTAGGTGAGTATGTGGGTGGGTGGGTATGTGGGTTTATGTGGGTGGGTGTGAGTGGGTGGGAGAGGGGGGGTGTGTATTTACCTAGTTGTGCTTGCGGGGGTTGAGCTCTGGCTCTTTGGTCCCGCCTCTCAACGGTCAATCAACTAATGTACAGGTTCCTGAGCATACTGGGCTCTATCATATCTACACTTGAAGCTGTGTATGGAGTCAGCCTCCACCACATCGCTCTCTAATGCATTCCATTTGTCTACTACTCTGACACTTAAAAAATTCTTTCTAACGTCTATATGGCTCATTTGGGCACTCAATTTCCACCCGTGTCCCCTAGTGCGTGTGCCCCTTGTGTTAAAATGTCTGTCTTTATCTACCCTATCAATTCCTTTGAGAATCTTGTATGTGATGATCATGCCCCCTTTAACTCTTCTGTCTCCCAGTGACGTGAGGTTTAATTCCCGTAGTCTCTCCTCATAGCTCATACCCCTCAGTTCAGGTACTAGTCTGGTGGCAAACCTTTGAACCTTTTCCAGTTTAGTCTTGTGCTTGACTAGATATGGACTCCATGCTGGAGCCGCATACTCCAGGATTGGTCTGACATATGTGGTATTCAAAGTTCTGAAAGATTCCTTACACAAGTTTCTAAAGGTCGTTCTTATGTTAGCCAACCTGGCATATGCTGCTGATGTTATCCTCTTGATAGGGGCTTCAGAGAACAGGTCTGGCGTGATATCAACCCCCAGGTCTTTCTCACTCCCTCTCTGACTCTTGAAGTATTTCATCTCCCATATGATAACTTGAATCTGGTCTCCTGCTCCCTACGTCTATCTTCATTACATTACATTTGCTTGGGTTAAACTCTAACAACCATTTGTTCGACCATTCCTGCAGCTTGTCTAGGTCTTCTTGAAGCATCAAGCTGAACTCATCTGTCTTAATCCTTCTCATAATTTTGGCGTCGTCAGCAAACATTGAGAGGAATGAATCTATACCTTCTGGGAGATCATTTAAGTATATCAGAAACAGGATAGGTCCGAGTACAGAGCCCTATGGGACTCCAGTGGTGACTTCACGCCAATCTGAGGTCTCAACCCTCACTGTAACTCTGCTTCCTATTACTTAGGTACGCCCTTATCCACTGGATCACCCTACCAGTTACTCCTGCCCGTTTCTCCAGTTTATGCATCAGCGTTTTATGGGGTACTGTGTCAAAGGCTTTCCGACAGTCCAAAAAAATGCAGTCCGCCCATCCTTCTCTTTCTTGCTTAATCTTTGTCACCTGATCGTAGAATTCTATTAAGCCTGTAAGGCAAGATTTACCCTTCCTGAACCCATGTTGATGGGTTGTCACGAAGTCCCTTCTCTCCAGATGTGTTACTAGGTTTTTTCTCACAATCTTCTCCATCACCTTGCATGGTATACAAGTTAAGGACATTGGCCTGTAGTTCAGTGCCTCTTGTCTGTCACCCTTTTTGTATATTGGGACTACATTAGCCGTCTTCCATATTTCTGGTAGGTCTCCCCCGCCTCCAGTGACCTACTATACACAATGGAGAGTGGCAAGCAAAGTGTTTCTGCACATTCTTTCAATACCGACGGTGAGATTCCGTCCGGCCCAGCAGCCCTTTTTCACCTCCAGATCCAACAGATGACTCTTGACCTCATCTCTTGTAATTTCGAGCCCTTCCAAGGCCGCCTGGTTTACTGCCACCTCTCCCAGCGCAGTTCTGCTGACGGAGGAAATTGTTCAATAGGTGTGAAGATCTGTGAGGTAGTTAACAGGGTCTCAGAGCGTTCTGGGGTGGGAGGGGGGGGTCAAGGGAAGGGGGGACAGGTAGGGTATGGGGAAAGGAGGGAGGGGGGGGACATGGAGGATATGGGGAGAAGGGATAGAGGAGGGTATGGGATGAAGGGGGGAGGGGGGAAGCTATCATACATATCGCCCTCCCATCAGGTTATAATAATGAAATATCACTAATTAAAATAATGCTGATATTTGTAATTAACAAAAATACCAATACTAAACAGCAATACAACTCTACAACACCATCAACCACAATAACTTTGAGCCCGGTACATTAACCTGATCAACACCAGTAATCTCTGACTCGAGGGCTCCGCTTCGCAAATATTATGACATGATAATTCTCTCAAAATACAAGCCTTAATTATCACTATTAACATTACAGGTAAACAACTGGGTCACGCGCCTCTAAATTAACATTAAATATACTCTTATAGAAACTAATATCTTTTAACCAATAAAATAGTGTGAAGTTTTTAACACTAGATTATATTTTATATATATACCCCTTTCAGGTATTAATATATATGTATATATATGCCTTGAATAATCCACAAGCCAACACGCATCAGAAAACTCTTGACCCTTAAAGGATTCGAACCCCGTCAGCCAGGGCCTTCAAGCCCCTTGGCCTGTCCAGTGCTATAACCACTCGGCCAAACTGACTATACAAAAGTATTACAAGTGGTCAGTCCCTTAACCCAATACCCGACAGCTCTCGTTGACCATTTTGGGCTCGGATATTTCATCAAATCACTCCATCATGCTGGGGCCGCATGATGAGTAACATTTGTGTACCATCACGCAGCCCCAGCATGATGAAGTGATCTGATGAAATGTCAAATAGCATTTAATAAAATGAGCAGAACTGCTGACCTGCATTATCAGGGCTTACCCACTGGCGGACACTGTACCAACACCACTGCAGTGAAGTGAAAGCAAATATAATCCTAGGATTAGTCAAACAAAACGTTAGCTTCTAGGAAAACGAAGTAATATTACAACTGAATAGACCTTGGTGAGCCCCCAATCCCCCCCCCCCTTTTGGATTATTGCGCAACCCAAGAATGGAGACCTCAGACTTCATCTTTAGAAAGACATAACTAATTTGAACAAAGTTCAACACGGGGCGAAACAAAATTATTCTTGAACTAAGTCGACTTTCCATCAGGAACGGTTGAGAGCCAGAGCTAACAGCATTGCAAACCAGACATGATAAGGCTGACCTCATTGGAACTTTAAAAATACTGAACATATTAGAAGATATTAATCCAGACCACTTCCTTAAAAGGTCAGACGTAACACGAACAAAGAGCAACAATTTCAAAGTCAATAAGCCACAATGCAGGACAGAATGCAGGAGATGCTTTTTCACCATAGGGTTATAAAACCGTGGAACTGCCTACCTGCTGAAGTCGCCAAAACTCTGCTGCAATTTAAGAACCAACTTGATAAAACCATTAGGACAAATTGGGGGACGTTAGGCAAGCCACTGGCTTCCTGTCCTCGTCGAGGCCACTAGAGAGATGGTGACCCCTCAGGTAAATTCAGTTAAGTAAATATATCAAATGACAAACCAGAATGGAACAAAGGATGCATTTTAAATGCCTGAGATCAGCTGTGGCACAAGGAATATGTAATGGTGTACTAGAATACACACACACTCATACACACCCCTCTCACACACACACTCATACACACCCTCACACACACACACTCATACACACACTCATACACACCCTCACACACACACACTCATACACACCCTCACACACACCCCTCACACACACACACACACACACACACTCATACACACCCTCACACACACACACTCATACACACCCCTCACACACACACACACTCAAACACACCCCTCACACACACCCCTCACACACACACACACTCATACACACCCTCACACACACACACTCATACACACCCCTCACACACACACACTCATACACACCCCTCACACACACCCCTCACACACACACACACTCATACACACCCCTCACACACACACACACACACACACACACACACACACACACACACACACACGTAATATCTAAAACATCTCCCAGAGGGCATAGAATCGTTCCTCTCATTGTTTGCCGATGATGCAAAAATTATGAGGAGGATTAAAACAGAGGATGATAGGAGGAGGCAACAAGATGACCTAGCCGGCCTAAATGTGGCCCAACAAATGGCTACTAAAGTTCAACCCGAGTAAATGTAAGGTCATGAAACAGAAGGCCAGACACAGGATACCGATGGGAAATTATGTACTTCATGAACCGGACAGAGAGAAAGATTTAGGAGTTGATATCACACCAAACCTGTCTCCTGAAGCCCACATAAAAATAATTACATCTGCGGCATACGTAAGGCTGGCTAACATCAGAACAGCCTTCAGGAACCTGTGTAAGGAATCATTCAGAACCTTGTACACAGTATGTTTAAGTCCAATCCTGGAGTATGCGGCCCCAGCATGGAGCCCGTACCTTGTCAAGCACAGGACGAAGCTAGAAAAAATTCAGAGGTATGCCACTAGGCTAGTCCCAGAACAAAGAGGCATGAGTTACGAGGAAAGGCTGTGTGAAATGCACCTCACGACACTGGAAGACACAAGAATAAGAGGAGACATGATCACTACCTACAAAATTCTCAGAGGAAATGACAGTAGATAAGGATAAACATATTAACACGGGTGGTACGCAAACAAGGGGACACAGGTGGAGACTGAGTACCCAAATGAGCCACAGGAATGTTAGAAAGAATTTTTCAGTGTCAGAGTAGTTAATAGGTGGAATGCATTAGGCAGTGATGGGGTGGAGGCAGACCCCATACACAGTTTCAAATGTAGATATGACAGAACCCAGTAGGCTCAAGAACCTGTACTCTAGTTAATTGACGGTGTAGAGGCGGAACCAAAGAGCCAGAAGCTCAACCCCCGCAAGCACAACTAGGTGAGTACACACACACACACACACACACACACACACAAAACACATGTCATTTATCCTCCAACAGGAATAATTACCAGTGTAATCACCCAAGTGATCGTACCAGCTCACGCCCAAGAGGAAGGCGGGAGAGAGAGAGATGCAGTGACCAGTCGCAGGTGACGGGAGGCTAGTCACACCCCAGGTATTGATTCCTGCTTCATAGTCCAAACATTGCCAACACCTGAAACATATAAAAATACTGAAACAATCTTGAACATATAAATACTGAAGGTTACTGCAACACATTGCAAACCTTGCAGAGCCATCACAGTAACAGAGAATAATTCAGCGCAACAGTTGAAGAAAAGTGGAAATAGAAGTTAACTACACCTGTCAACTTTTTACCTTAAAATAGCTCATTCACTTGCACGCGGCAGGGCACCACAGACAGGCACTTCAACACTAACATAAAAGAGGCATGCAGGGCGCAAGTGTGTCGGAGCGTAATATATTTTAAACGATCATTAGCGAGCGCTCAGGTGAGTGCCTCAGGTGAGTGCCTCAGGTGGCATCAGGAGCACCTGCCTGAATTTTAAATGCGAGACAATATGTTCACGCTTCTACACCTCCCTGTTGCCACTTATACTGCTGACAAACACGCTATTGAAACTATATATATATATATAAATATATATTATATATATGTGCTAACATAAGGGGATTGCAAACAGACATTGGAGGCTTCAAACATAGCTTCACAATACATAAGAGAGCTGTCAAAATCTAAGCTGAAAGCTCATCTACCCGGGCCACATAAAATTAACCTTCCTTTAGCTATGGACTAAGGCCCATAACCAGGAGAAAATCTGTCATTCTTTTAATATATTGCTGCCAGCCCTCAGGCGGTGTGCGCGCGCCCACACCGTCACACTCCATCACTAATCCCCAAGTTTTGCAGTAAACATAAGGATTGAAAGACGAGTTAAATATCCATACAAACTTATTCAAAGGGAATCAATACTAGTAATCCCGAATGTAATTCTTTAACTTAACCTGATTGTGTACGTTGATGCTGTTAGTTCTTAACAGAGTGGTGTAGAGGTGATCTTGTCATGGTTGATCCAACTCCCAGACTTCCAGCAGCACAGCTACTCCAACGTTGTCATGTCTGCGGCAACTCTGTAAACAAAGATATATTAAGTGTTTAATATCAATGGATTCATAATAGATCCTCCAAGTGTGTGTATTCACCTAGTTGTGTTTGCGGGGGTTGAGCTTTGCTCTTTCGGCCCGCCTCTCAACTGTCAATCAACTGTTTACTAACTACTTTTTTTCCCCACACCACACACACACACACACACACCCCAGGAAGCAGCCCGTGACAGCTGACTAACTCCCAGGTACCTATTTACTGCTAGGTAATGGGGGCATTCAGGGTGAAAGAAACGTTGCCCATTTCTTTCTGCCTGGTGTGGGAATCGAACTCGCGCCACAGATTTACGAGTCCTGCGCGCTATCCACCAGGCTACCAGGCCCCTGTGTGTGTGTGTGTGTGTGTGTGTGTGTGTGTGTGTGTGTGTGTGTGTGTGTGTGTGTGTGTGTGTGTGTGTGTGTGTGTGCGCGCGCGCGCGTGTGCGTGTGCTGAAGAGCACGAAGATACATGCAAATTAGTGGATAAACTGAACATAAAAAATGATATTTATTGCAATCAAAATACAATATTGTAAATTGTCAGCGCTCCTGCCGGTCGCCTCACCAAACACACACACTCAGTGTGCCAAGGTGAACATACTTTAAAGCTGGTGTAAAAGTTTACAAGAGACTGAGAGCACCTGCACTCCTGGAACAACATGTCCCAACCCTCCAAGCACTCAACCCCACCAACGCACTCAACCCCACCAACGCACTCAACCCCACCAACGCACTCAACCCCACCAACGCACTCAACCCCACCAACGCACTCAACGCGCACAGATTAACACATACAAAGGAGAACACAGAGGACTTGGAAGGTCAGAGGCACCAACGAACACACCCGCGGGCGAATATTCTAAAATCAAAGATTCTAAATGAAAGACATTCTAAACCAATTATTCTAAACCAAAGATAACGAAAAAGGGGGCGGGGAAGGTAAAGGAGACAGGGAGGGAAAAAAGAAGAAGGGAGAGGGAAAAAGGGAGGAGTAGGAGGGAAGATGAAGAAGGAGGGAAGAAAACGGGATAAGGAAGGAGGAGGAGAAGAAAGGAGCAGCCACAGACCTTTGTGAAGCCCATGATGGCCCTCTCCCCCATCACACAGCGACAATGCCCTAACTAAATCTGAAAGTATAATTGTCTTAAGGAAGCAAATCAAAAGCCGGTTGGCCAGCAGGCAATTGGCCAATCATGGATAGTTTACAGCGTCAGTGTGAAAGCCGCCGAGAAGCAAATCATCACTATATTTAATTCAGATTGGAAGAAAGTTATTTGACTCAACTGGAATATGATGGATTGAGACAGTATAAATATACGAGTTTGGTCTAATTCAGCGTACCAGTTTAGTCAATGGGCAGAGTTTCTTTCACCCTATGCCCCTGTTACCTAGCAGTAAAATAGGTACCTGGGTGTTAGTCAGCTGTCACGGGCTGCTTCCTGGGGGTGGAGGCCTGGTCGAGGACCGGGCCGCGGGGACACTAAAGCCCCGAAATCATCTCAAGATAACCTCAAGAAGTCACCAGATGGCGTCCAGCTAGTATGAATATATCCCAGGGGGAAAGGAATTATGTGTTTCCGTGGTTTAGTTTAGCAGTTTCCGTGGTGTAGTGGTAAGACACTCGCCTGGCGTTCCGCGAGCGCTATGTCATGGGTTCGTATCCTGGCCGGGGAGGATTTACTGGGCGCAAATCCTTAACTGTAGCCTCTGTTTAACGCAACAGTAAAATGTGTACTTGGTTGTAACAACGATTCTTCGCGGCGGGGATCGTATTCCAGGGACCTGCCCGGAACGCTACACGTACTAGTGGCTGTACAAGAATGTAACAACTCTTGTATATATCTAAAAAAAAAAGTGCTGGGGAAACGAGGCTGGTGTGCAGAAACAATGCCCAACCACTAGGACTATCGGGAATCGAACGCTGACCTGCAAGAAGCGAGGCCGTCTCATTTACCTATCAGTCCAAGTGGCTGGACGCCAGCTTAGGATAGATGGTCAGAATTTCAATATCACGATACATTGAAACGTGCAGATAAGGTACACAGATGTCGAGCCCATGTAATGCCTAGCCCAAGTGTATGTAGCCCCAAGTGTACAAAGGCCCTGTGTACCTAGCTTCTATTTATACACCAAGAGCTTATTACAGTATAATTTATCATGCAGTTATGAAATTTATATTAAAAACATTTAAACTATAATAAGCTATTTCAAGAAGTAAATATTTACATAACGCTCACGGGAGACATCTCCCGTCACGCAGGGTGCAGTCGCACCTCCACAGATCTCCAGTATCAGCTCTTGATACTGGTAATGGCTCAAAAGGGCCACCACTTACGGGCTATTCATGCCCGTGCCACCTCTTGGGTGGCTTAATCTTCAATCAATCAATCTACATAACGCTTTCGACAGTGAAATGTGGGTTGGTCAGCCCGTAGAGGTGTATATACTTCACCTAAATGACTACTGTTCACTATTTTTAGCATCACCTAGTTAACTTTTTTGACTCACTGTACTCCACTTCATATATACTGCAGAGGATGCTTATACTGGATAAAGAACCAACACTATTTTACACACAATGGCTATTCAATGTCAAGTACGTTTATCGAGACCATTAAAATACATAAAAAAAAAAATAGAGTAGATTAGCCTATTTCTACCCTCCCAAAATGCCTATTAACGGCCCTGTTGACAATTAACATGATACT